GGGGCGGGGGTCTTCATTTCATTTGTTAACTGGGATGCAGACGAGAAGTGGGAATAAAAGTTGGGAAAATGTCATCCTGTGACATTTACATTCTCAGAAGAGCCAGCAGGGCCCACGGGGCAGGAGGATTTTGATCATCGCCCGAGAGTGCTACCCCTGGGGACACACAGCTCTCTGTCCTGGGAGCGGGGCAGGCCACAGCCAGAGGAGCTTGGGGAGCTACGCCGTGGGAGACGCGCTCCTGCTCCTAACCTTTCAGGATGGGAGGTTTCACATGGGGCCACCTCTGCCCCTGACCTGACCACAGCTGTCTCAGTGTCTGCTCCCAGGGCCTTGGGTCATCGGAGTGGGGTCTCCTGAGCTGCACCCACAAGCTTTCTCCTCCCCTCACAAATGCCAGCTGGGAAGCATGCAGCCCAGGTGGACAAAGGGACAGAGTGCCTCTGGCATAGCTGGCCAGAGCCCGCTGCTGGGCTCCTGCTTGCTGGCCACGTTTAACCCAGTTTAAGGAGCTGCCCCTATCTGGTGCTGCAAACCCAGAGCCGAGACCATCAGAGCCCGTCCCAAACCATGAGTGACAACTTCCATCCTGGAGCAGAGTGCTGCCAGCTCAGGGCCGAGACCGCTGTGGTCATAGCAGCAGTTGCAACGATTCTGTCCACTCGGACAACAGACACGTGTCTGCAGAGACCCACATTCTGGCCGTGGCTGGCCCACCTGCTGCAGCTCCTCTCTGTCTTGGGTTCCACTTCTACGAAATGAGGCCTTTGCACCAACTCTGGGGTGACAAACAGGTTTCGTGTCCTGTGTCAGTGCTTACTGACTGCGGTGCCTCCTCAGGACTCTGCCCAGGATTCTGAACCTGCGCCTGGCTCATAGGGGATGGTGCGTCGGTGGATTAGTCATGTCTGCCATGGGAGGCGGGAGAGAAGGCTCGTGTGTCCTGTGGTCACCAAGCCCTTCAAGTTATAACATCTCCAGCATTCTAGGCAATACATACAGTGACGCTGCCTTAATTTCTGTTCTCCCTAAGCATTCAGAGCTCTTAAAAGGCAGCAGTGACAGCTGAGGCCAAGGTGCTCATTTGTCTGTGAAAGGCTGCTCGTAGCACAGGAGCTGGGGAGCCACATGGGGCGGCTATGGACTGAGCCTGCCCAGTCCCCCTGGAGGTGGCACAGAGGCTCCTGTCACCCCGTGGTTCACAAGCATGACCACCTACAGGAAGGCGGCACACAGTGGCCTGCTCACTGGGCTGGATAAGGGTCCTTCTGAACTGTGCAGGTTTTTTCCCTCCTTTTAAAAACTTGCTGCTGGAAACAGAACAGCCTAAAGGAAGTCTGAGGAATGTGTCCAGCTGGGGGGCTTTGGGCGAGTGACCTGGCCTTGGTTTTCCTGTCTATCAGGTATGCATGGCAGGATGGCCTTGTAGGGGCCTGGCCAACGTGATGCACACGTAACGGCCTCTGGACTCCTTTCTTAGGACAGCCGGTCCTCAGTGGAGGGCGTCTGTGAATTTAACAATGGGTTGTCATGGCCCAGGGCAGAAAAACCACAAGCACACATGCACATGCAGGCACACACATGAACTCGCGCACACAAACACATGAGCTCAACACGCACGTGCATGCTGTGGTCTCAGAGTTGAGGCTGCTGCTTCATTGCATGGTGTCTGGCACGGTCTGTGCCCCATTAATCCTGTTGAATGAGTCGTGAGCAGCTTCCTGTTCTGTCTCGTGCGTGTTTTACGTTCTGTGCTCCTAGGTCAGCCCCCTCCCTCTCCTCTGCCTCAGTTTCCCCATATTCGTCCATGGAGTTCTTTTCCCCGCCAGAGGCCTGCTGGCTGCCTGTCCTTTTGAGGATGTATGAATAGCTGCATTTGGGCTTTTGAGGCTGGGAGATGGGTGGGCCCCATGTGACTGGAGGAGGCCAGCCGAATCACAGGGCAGGACTGGTTGGGGTGGGGGAGCGTGGAGGAAGAGGAAGTGCCACTGCTCCTCTCTGAATGTTTCAGAACTTTCGTTTTCACAAGCCCGTCGGCTGGGGACACCACAAAAGCCCTGTTGTGCAGCTCTGTGCCTGGAGCTCTTCTTGTGCTTGTGTGTCCTGACCCTTCCAGGGAGCCAGGCTCTGTTTCGATGTCATACGGAGGGTCTGGAAGGGAAGCAAGCCCTACACTCAGACATGGTGCTCGGGATGCTGTGTGACTTTGGACAAGTCCCTTGACCTCTCTGGGCTTCCATTTCCCCATCTCTGAAATAGGTCAGTACCTACTGTGAACATGAGCACTTGTTAATCACATGGTAACTTCCAGAACGGCAGTATGCAATGAGCCTTTCATAAACGTGACCTCTGTTAAAACCAGCAGCAGCGTGGACAATGCAGACCCATTTCTCATGGGAATGCAGCTCAGGGCATGGTGAATGGCCGGGTCAGGAGATGGCAGCACGGCCGTGAGCCAAGACCCACCCCTCTCCGAGGCACTGCACTGGGAGTGTGGCTGCCCTCAGCAAATATTAGTGCATCAGAAAGATAAATTTTGCACAGTAAATACAGAATAGGTATCTAGCCTAGAAAACATGAAGCTGTGTTTTTTCTTTTTTACCAAGATGAGCTGTACTTAGTTAACAGTTCTCAATGTCTGTAAAACACTTTATTCCAGTTTTATGATGACTTCAGTTTCTTGTGAACTTAACAGGAGCATCTTTATTGTCTCCCCCAGGTCATCTCCGCGGTGTCGAGACTCTCCCTGCACAGCATCGCGCAGAACAAAGGGATCAGGTGAGCTCTCCGGAGTGCCGCCTTGCCACGTGTGGGCCCTTTAATCTCGTCACCACCAGCACGGCTTGTCACAGACACGGGAGGTTTCGGCGGCTGTCTCTGCCTGGGTCTTTATCATGCTGTTCACTGTGTTGTTGAGTTCCCTGTTGGCAGTGGCTGCAAGGGGCGTGGAGGAGGGGGGCCCTCGGCTCACGCCAGGGAAATCTCGCAAGCATGTTACTGACGGATGCAAAATCTCTTTCGATTTAGGTAATAAGATCAGCAAATTAATCCTTTCACGGATCATTGCCTACCTAAATGCACTCTCCACACACCAGAGCAGGGCTCTGCCGTGAATGCAGTAGCTGGCGTGTGTTTGCAAGGACGGGCTGGAGCACAGTGGATGTGCCCTGCTTGGGGGCTGTGGCGCTTTCATCAGGGCATCTGGAGAAACCACCCCAAGGAATTTCTCCACACTCAGTTTAATTCTGCTTGGATTGCAAAGCTCAGTCTCAGAGATCCCATGGCCCCTGAGGTCTGGTCTCCTGTCTCTGACATGCAGGTGGGGCACGTGGGCGTGGGGATAAGGGGAGGGCAGCCTCCAGCGAGCACTGGTCATTGTGGACTCTGACAAAAGGAGCCCGCCCGAGAGCAGAGTGGGTGGGGTCATGCCCGAGTGCAGGTGACCGTGTGACGGTGGATACTTAGCTGTGCATGGGGCTTCACCCTGGCGACCTCTGTGGGGACACTGCATGTGCCCGTGAGCCAGGGGTCCCAGGTCGATGGTGTCAGTGCATTTGGGTCGCACAGCTGCCCCTTGATGGGGGCTGTTGGCTTGGGTTCAGGTTGTCTCAGGTTTAGAGGTGTCGCCGGGGCAGATGTGAGTATTAGTGAACCCACCAGAGACGTCTATGGCTTTTGAATTTTCAGAGAACATAGATATTCTTTGAATTGAGATTTTATTTTTTTAATGTCAGACATAGGATAGTCTGTCTTAAAATGCTTTAAAATTATATATTAAGAACATACAAAAGAGTATTTATAACACATTTGGATATAAAGAATAACAGTCAAATAAAACCCTTGTACCCACTGCCCAGAGTACTTTCTAGAATGTAACCAAGACCTCTGAGGCCCCCTCCAGCCGCTTCCCAGTTGCACAGGCTGCTTGTCAGCTATTGTGAGGTTTGTAATAGGCATTATTTAAAAATGTTTAATTAAAAAAAGTGTCATTTCTGGACACAAAGGCAGTGTGTGGTTTTTGTTTGTTTCCAAAGATGGCCTTCTGTTCTCTCTCCCACTGTGCGTCACACACTCTCGGTGTTGTGCACGTGTCTCCTATTCTCAGCCTCTGTCCGACGCGCTCTGCATCTCTGTGCACACGCACATAGGCAGGAATGAAGCATGCACAGCGAAAATTAGCCACTGTATTTGCTCTTTCACAAAATACTAGGCTGTGGTCTTTTCTCCCAATCCAATATACATTTTCCTCAAGCCAGTGGCCTGGCACTGCAGGGCCCAGATCAGACGAGTAACCCATTTACATTCCTGGGGCTGGGCGCTGGCCCAGCTTGCACCGGACACGGTCCTGCTGTGGGGTGTCCACAGCCATATCCCTTCCCCTGGCTGCAGCCTGAACGCAGTCCTTGGCTGAGCTGGGCTGTTTCAGGCTGTGGGTACCCCTACCCTCCCGAGGCTGAGATGCCCCATCTGCAGGCTCTGAGTGCCTGTTTCCCTGGGGGTTTATGGACGGCCATGAGACCCCGTTGGTGACGTAGAGGGTGGTAAAGAACATGGAGAGAGCTGGCCCCGTGTCTGTCCAGGGTGTGTGTCCTCCTCTCTGGTTAGTACAGAGGCCCCTCGAGGACAGCAGTGGGTGCCCTCCCTCCTGGCCACCCCCTTGATGCCCGATCTCTGCCACCTGTCCGCCCCACCAGCCCCAGTGGACATGGCAGGTGCTTCATCATCCGCTCCTGTCATGGATGGGCAGAAGGAGACGCAGTCAGCCCTGCCTGCTGCACCCCGGGCCCTGGGGCTGGCAACGTGAGTGGGAACCTGCCCTCTTCCTTCTCTTGTCTCCAAATCTCGGAGGCAGCGTGTGGGCACAGTGGTCCCCTGAACAAGGAGTGAAGACCCCAGCCCAGAAGGCCACCAGAGAGCCTGTGCTGCAGAGTCAGTGAGACCCTGGTCCAGACCCAGCGTCCTGGTTAGCTGTGGGCCCTGTGCCCGAGACTTCGCTCTGAGTCTGCCTTTTTATGTCCGTGGGATGGGGACAAACGCGGTGGCTTCTGAGGATTTGAGGGGAACGTCAATCCCTTAGCTAGTGCCTGGTCCAGAGAAGGGCTCAATAAATGGTTCATTTTAATGACTATAAGGGGATATATTTGGGGGGGTCCACAAGACACTCTGGGGTTCCACGACTCACCAGAAGGACTCACAGATGTGGAAAAGCCGTGGTGCTCATGGTTGTGGTTTATTATGGGAAAAGGATGCAGATTAAAATCAGTGGATGAGGAAGTCTCACAGGTGGAACCCAGGAGAGACCGGGAGCGAGTGTCCCTGGAGTGTTGCCAGTCAGGAAAGCCCACCTTCCCCGGTGTGCAGGGTTTTTGGTGGTGGTCAGTCACATCAGCATGGGATGCCTGCATGTCTGGCCCTGGTGACTCAGTCTCTGTAGCCCCACCGTAAATCATATCATAGGAATAGACTGTGTGGCGTGGCCCCAGGCCCCTGGCACACGAAGACACTGTAGCTCTTTCTTTGGAATATGCAGGGTTTGGGCACCCCAAGTCAACTAAGTTAACCCTTTACTGCGCACAGAAGAAGGAGAAAATGAGGGACCGGGAGAGAGGTTTTTGCAGTCAGAAGGCAGGAGTCAGGGCCTCCTGGGCGTGCAGCAGCACTTGGCAGAAATTCCTCCCCGTCTCTCATGCGTCCTCCTCGCCCTGGTGGCTGGCGTCCTTCCTCCCCGTCCTCCTCCCTGCCTTTTCCTCCTCGTTGTCTGAGCCCTGGTCTGGGACTTTTCTGGGGTCTTTTTCCTTTGCAGCCCCTGGGGTGGAGGGCAGGATCTCCCTCCATCCATTCAGACGCTCACCGGGGAGCTCAGGAGACGGGCGACCCTCCCAGGCAGCCCTCTTTGGCAGGCTGAGTCTGCACGGCCTCTGCCTCTTTCTTCATACGGCTGAGATTTTCACGGGGAATTGAACTTTCTGGGGCTATACCAGTGCTTTAAAAGACACTAACCAAGCTCTTCATCTAAGAGCACTTTGTAGTGTTATTAATTAGCAAAAGGTGTCTGTTTAGCCAAACTCCTTTTTGGAAACCCACAAACCAAGCCCGCAGTCCTGAAGAGTTTTCCCCTCGTTTCTTTCATGGCTGGGTAGAAGCCCAACGTGCTGCTGTAAAAAAACTGATCATTTTCACAACCCTTGCACTTTGCATAATGAGCTGATTTTAGATAAAAGCCGCAATTATACTTCTCAGAGGCTGATGAATTGGAGATTTAATCCTAAGGGTCCCACCCTGGTGCTGGCTGGGGGATCAGATGTGGAGGCGGGGGAGGGTCCGTGGCAAGGCCCCCGAGGTGTGTGAGGGTGTGGGTCATTGTTCCCGCTGGAGCTCCCCTTCCAGATTGGGGGTGCCCTGATTGGGCGTCATCACAGCTCTGAGAGGCCGAGAGGGAGAGTTGGTGAAGGGCAGGGGTCTCTGTGTGACCGAAGCTGAAAGTTGCCCTCATCCCTGGAGGTCGGGCCCATGAAGGTCCCTCGTTGGCCGAGTGACCTTTGGCAGGGATGCTCTTGGAGCCTCTGTCTCTTCTTCTGTAGGCTGGAACGAGCCTGTGAGCACAGCACCTGGAACTCAGGGAATGCCCATGGGCTGCTTTGTCGACATCCTAACCCCCCGGATCCTGTGAGTGTGATGGGGAAAAGGGTTTCTATAGATAGGATCTTGCAGATGTGAGGACAGAGCAGAGGTCCGAGTGGTGCGGCCACGGCGGGGAATGCAGGCAGCTGTAGGTGCTGGGAAAGGTGAGGAACGGGCCCTTCCCTGGAACCTCCAAAGAGGGACCAGCCCTGCGGACACCTTGATGTTAGCCATAAGAGCCCTTTCAGGCTTCTGGTCTTCAGAACTGCAAGATCTCTGCTGTTTTAAGCCACCAAGTTTGTGATGACTCGTTATAGCCACACAGCAGGGGCTAATGCAGTTGTGTCCATGCAGGGTCCCCGGGATCGGCTGAGAGGCTGTCAGAAAGGCCCGGGTGTGCGGCCTGTCTCTGCACACGCCCCACTGGGTCATAGAAGTGGAATCATGCAGGATGTGTTCTCTGGCGTCTGGCTTCTTCCACTGAGCGTGTTTTCCAGGTTCACCCACGCTGCAGGGGGAATCAGAGCGTCGTTCCTGTTTACGGCTGAGTAACTTTCCACTGTCAGGACAGACCACCTTTTGCTTGTCTGCTCACCATCTGATGGACCTTTGGGGTGTTTCCACCTTTCGGCTCTTGTCAGTAGTGCTGCTGTGACAGCAGGCGGCGGGCAGGACGGGTCAGGCCGAGGTCGGGTGGGAGAGGCTGGACATCTGCCAGCACCCACCCGTGAGACAGAACTTCCTTCTTCAATTGGAAGCGAATTCTCAGAATATCAGACACACCCATATCCAAATCTGTGTACCGTGAAACATTCGGAATTAAAAATAAATGCCTGTCATTGTGGGGGCGGCTTCAGAGAACCCGTTCTGTGGCTTCCCTGTGCAGGGAGAGCAGGTAATGGGCCTTCAGCCAGAGCTCTGGGCGGCTGGACAGGCGGACGTTCTTAGGGGTACAGACCCACGAGTCAGACTCGTGACCGGGGGACTTCTTCCCTTTCGGCCCCGACAAGGCTCAGCCTTCACCCCTCTGGTGGCCGGGAGATCCTGGAGCCCAGTTCCTTGCCGGGCCGCTCGGGTAACGGGAAAGCGCGTCCATGCGGCGGGGCATGGGCTGCCATCCTGATTGCCGGTTCCGGACAGGTGCCGGACACCTCTCG